GCAGGTGTTTGCAAATGTAAGCCTTAGCAGAAATACGGTTGCTGATTTTAAGTTCAAGTTTATTTATTTTGGAATAATGTTGTATCCTGTCTGTTTAGATTCATATTTATGTTCAAAAAACGTTTAGTTTTAGTCTGTTTAATAAATGTTTATCCTGTTTGGCCCCCGACCTAAAGTGTGCTTTGGGTTTTGGCCCCTGTGCCACTGATCGGGAATGGAAGACAGAGACAGAGACAGACAGACAGACAGATTTATGGTAAAGTTATGTTTTAACAACTCTCAACCACATAATTAACCCAAAGAAGGTCTGACACGTATTTTGTTTAATAATCGACTGTTCAGAGTTTGAAATGTCCAGTTCGTGAACTTGACCGTCACGTCAGTTATCAACCAGTTATCAACGTCTTCGTCAGCGGACTGGTGACCACGGACTGGGCAGCTCAGGTGTGTTCCATCCAGGTGAGAGAGGCGGGAGAAACCACGGGGAGGAGTTTGTTCCGTTGCTGGGAGATCCCGGCGAGGAGCTGCGTTAAGTTGGACATATTAAAACCGGAAGGTGGTAAGTTGCCCTCCAAAATGAACATGGACATTTTACTGGCTTTGTTTTTTTAAAACTCTCGTCCTCGCTTCCTGTCCAGCTCCAATCGGAGCAACATTCTGTTTCACTGTATTCGTTTAGGTTGTGGATGTGTTTGGAATCAACTGACTGAAGTCACTGATTGGTTACCAAGCCGACACCTGGTGCTTTTATTGTGACAAGCGGCGGCGGAAGGTGCCTCCTCCCCCGTTTTTTTTGACCGGTCGTGATGCACATCCCGGTCGCAGCAGACCGATCCTGGACGTGGGCCGAGCTCGGTGTCCTGCGCCTTCATCACAACCGGCAGAGCTTTGTTTGTAAGCGCCGTTTGCTGCCTCCTCCTCCCGCCGAGCTCCTCTGAACCCTCCTCTTCCTCTGCCCAGGGGGAGCGGACAGCAGCCGGACAGGAGTCCGTGCACGTCCACGGCAACAGGTCGAGGAGCAGCCGAAATCAAGCAGATAAAGCCAATGTGAATAAAGCGGGCAGAGGCTCGAGGCAGAGGAGGAGGAGGAAGAAGAAGAAGAAGAAGGAGAAGGAGAAGAAGAAGGTGGTTTAATGGTTTCAGCTGCAGTGTGGATGCGACAGAGGGGACAACCGGCAGCATGATGCCCGTGAGTGTCAACACACTGATGCATGTTGTTATCCAGGCACCCCACTGGGCTTTCACACAGAACCCGGCACCGACCCGCATTTTGTGCTGGTTCCACAGAGCTTTCAGAACCACGTCCCCTAATCGTGCACGTCTAGACGCCAGCAGCTGCGCAGCGCGTGTTAGTGAAACCAGTAAGCGCGTCGACCTGCTGCAGGGACCCCAGTCTGACCGAACTGTGGGCCGCGTAGAGCCCAGGTGGAGCAGAACGGTCCGGTCTGTACCACCGTTAGTCCTCCCAGTCCGGTCTGTACCACCGTCAGTCCTCCCAGTCGGTTTTCCTGTTGGAGTGTTTTCGTGAACCTAAAGTCTTTCTGGTTCGGGCAACACCTGCATTTGTGACAGCGCGTTGTAACTGAATTCACTTGTGCCATGAGCGTGAGTCTGCGGTGCGTGCCAGCTAACAGCTGCACATCTGTGCACGCACGCTCACTTCTCTTCCCCTCGCGTGGTAAAAAGAGAGGAACCTGGTGATGTGGAGGAGGAAGGTGGAGGAGGAAGGTGCTTTATGGGGGAACTACAACACAACGAGCTTCTCTCATCACAGTTCACACCGTGTACCTCAGCAGCAATCCAGACTGTCACGTGACGAAGAGGTTCCGGCCCAGGGTTTGTCTTGGACTGGTTGCGGTGCAGATCTCGGTGTGTGTCCGTCAAACACCACACACCCCGGTCACTGTGCAACGTCGTCATCATCTCCCTGTGGCGCTCACCCTCCTTGGTACCGGTTGCCAGGTGACCAGAAACACGCACACACGCACGCAGTCCAAGGTCACGTGGGAACAGTATTAAGTTCGTGTTCCTCCGTTGAGGTGAGGCAGGCTCACTCAGTGGTCAGTTTATTAGGTACACCTGTGTGAGGGCCCCTCTCTTGTTTAGCCTAAACTAACGGATATAAACGGGGTGGACAAAATAATGGAAACAGCAGTACTGCTATAATGTGACGTCAGGATGGACATTGTTAGGTTCAGGGGGGTGTTGTCATGAACCACAGGGAGGCAGCGTCACTGAGTCTTTACTGACTGTTGGCTAACTGTTTTTAAAAGGTGACTCCTCAGAAGACACCCAGGACATCCTGACGCACTCTCCTGTTGGTCACCATGAGCACTGGAGCAGTGCACTAGTCAGGAGGCGTGTGCAGCATTGTGCGTCTGGCAGTGGATCCACAGCAGGAGTCTCCGATGCCGGTGTTGTTGACTGTGATGTCCTGACAGCCGGTTTGGTTTAGGCCTGTGTGGGTGTCCCCTTAATCCAGTGTTGTTGCAGCACGAGATGCTGTCGGCCATATGGCTGCTAAATGGGACGTGACCAGCTGCCACCACGGTTCCCTGGGCAGAGACAGAGCAGACGCCAGGACTGAAGTAAAGCTTGAATTGTACATAGTGTTAGTTAAACGTGTGTTTTCAGTCAGTTCAGTTTTTGCCTCGTTACTCTAAAAATCTCCATGTTTTTCTCAAATCACATTTTGTAAATTAAGGCATTCGAAACGTTTTTAATGTAGTAAAATAATTAAAATGCTGGTTTTAGCATTAAAGATGTTAATATAATAATATTTCTAGTCATTGGTTTTTGCCACACTACGTTAAACTGGCGACATTTCCCTGTAGGCCGGGCTGGACGGTGTTTGACACGTTTCCATAACGTGTTGGATCAGAACCTACATTTCAATCCTGATAATGAAACGGTGCAGTTTTCAAAATCCTACTTTGGAGAAATTAAATCCAGGACGTTTCTCTACAGAATATTTCTTTTATTTATCAAAAGGAGCCAAACGTCGTCTAAATGCGAGCGGCTGTGAACTTTGTCTAAAAACAGGATAAAGTCTACATTCAGAACTATCGGACCATATGTGTATTTAACCTCTGTGGAGGGGTCAACACGTCGAGGTCACATGACTCAGGGTGTGGATGGTGGATGTCAGGACTGCACTGCAGATGAAAGACAAAGAGAAGAAGACACTTCCTTGGTCAGTGGACCTGTTAATCACCCAGCAGCACTTGCGGGGGTCTCAGTAGCTGACTGGTCAGTGGCAGGATTAAGAGTCGGCTCCTCATCGTTGGAAGGTGCTGCTGTCAGACAGGAGATGGATCAGTAGGTTCCTCCACAGCAGTGGGGGCCCGAGGCATTAAGCAGCATGATGGTGAGCTTATTCCCGGCTGGATTAGGAGCTGCAGCCCCAGAAGTATGATGAGGTCTCAGCCCCCCCGTTGTCGTCCTGAGAGGCAGACAGCCTCCCCTTCTCAGGCTCTGATTGGCTGCGGTGTTTCCTAGTGGACCTCAGCTCAGGGACCGACAGTAATGACCCATTTAATCTGCATGAAGCTGGAGGGAGATGGCGGTGCTCCAGTTTTCCTCTGGATGGGCTGTATGTGGGGCAGTGGGCTTCTCGCCGAGGCTCATTCATCTCTGTCACTGAGTTTCAGCCTCTGCTGACTGTTAAGCTACTTCAGCTGTAGTGAGAGAAATCTCCCCTAAGGCTCCCCCCAGACCTGACCGGGCTGCGGGGCTACATGATGCCCTCTCTGCAGCCGAGCAGCTGTGGCTGTCTCGTAGCCTTTCAGTCTGAATGTGAAGGTAGATACAGCAGACAGGTGAATGTCAGCCCCAGAAACGTTTCCCAGAGTAACGTGGGAAAGTCAAAGTGATGTGTGAGCTGGTGTTTAACAACTGGCAGCAATAAGCTTTGGGCTCTTTAGGATTGGACTGTAGCTCTGTGCTCGTTCCAAAGCAGGAAGAACAAACTCTCCACCAGATTCATGCCTCATTGCTCCTCTGAGGTTGTTCTCAGAAACACAACAACTCACCACCAAATCCCTCTGTCAGGCAGTTGTCAAGCTTCCACTTCCTAAACTAACCCTAACACCTAAAACTTAAGAATTGTTGTCATTGTTCTGGTTAAAACACTGAAGTTAACATCAACATGATTTAAAGGAAACAAACAGCCACACTAGAAAGGTGAGGTTCCACGTTCGAGCCCCGGCCGAACTGAGGCCTTTCTGTGTGGAGTCTGCATGTTCTCCCTGTGCCTGTGTGGGTTCTCTCCAGCTTCCTCCCACAGTCCAAAGACATGCAGCTCAGGTTGACTGGTGACTCTAAACTGCCCGTAGGAGTGAGTATGGTTGTTTGTCTCCATGTCAGCCCTGTGATGGACTGGAGACCTGTCCAGGGTGGACCCTGCCTCTCGCCCCTCTCTCAGCTGACACTGAGCGAGAGGCAGACATCAGTTTCTGTGTTGGTTCAAATCCACAGCAGCTTCACTGGGAGCTGCAGGAGGAGGCGACGTGCCTTTGAGCAAGTCACTGCTCATTCCCACCTTCACAAGATAAATAAAGGCCGGACAGTGCTGCGTGCTGCCTCCGTGCAGGTTGGTGGGCCGTGGGAGGCGGATTGGCCCCGGGCCTGACAGCGGACGCCCTGCTGGGGTAACAGATGGCCCAGTGCATCATGGGAGTTATGTCCACAAATATCTGTCGCAGTCTGAAATAGCACAGGAAGCTGCCGTAAAGGTGACGAGGGCAGGTTCTGTGGGCAGAGTGGTCTCCTCACACTATGTTTTACCTAACAACACAAGCTGTTACCAACCTGGTTTTCACATCTAACTGTTTGAAGCAGCGTAGGGAAACTGAACAGCACTGCCAGCCAGTTTCTCAAGCATTATGTTGGTTTTTAAAAGCTTTAAAGAGGCTTAAGTCTGTTCTTCAGTCAGTCTAAACCATCACCTGCTGGTCACTGAATTCTGCTTTAAATATCAAATGTTATATCAAGTGAGATTCTGAACAAATACGTTGTGTGAAATGTTTAGTGTTTTGGAGGTCTTGAGTTCATCCAGCTGTTAGAAAAGCTGTGAGAGCCAGCTGCCTAACACAGGGCAAGTAAATGAGACCGAAGAGGCCTGGCCACCTGAAATAAGCCCACCCCTATTTTTCCTGGTGCACCTGCTTTGTTTTCAGATGTTCCTCACCGTGTACCTCAGCAGCAATGAGCAGCACTTCAGCGAGGTTCCCATCACACCGGAGACGCTGTGCAGGGATGTGGTGGAGCTGTGCAAGGAGCCCGGCGAGGTCGACTGCTACCTGGCCGAGTTGTGGAGGGGCTCAGGTGAGTTTCCCAAAAAGTGTCCAACACTAACAATGAGAGCTAAAGATGAACCTGCTGTCTTGAGGTATCCAGTTATTTTATCCAGCTAACAAACCTCTTTATTCTTATGCTCCTGTTCTGTTTCCAACCAATCAGAACGCATTGTTGGAGAAGGGGAGCGCATGTTGGAGGTGTTGCAGCAATGGGGGCAGCAGAGGGGGGAGGTTCGTTACCTCCTGCACCACCAGAGAGCTCCAGGACGAGAGTTGGGTAATGAATGCACTCACGCCCGCAGACTGTTCAACCCCTGGAGGAAGTTCCTTCATCCTAGTCGAGTTTCAGCACACGCAGCCACCTGTGTCTGGTGGGAAGCCAGTGAGGGATCACACCTGTTGCAGTAGTGACTCCTAAAGACAGATTATTAAACATTAGTAAATTAATTACTCAATTACACACAAATAAGATCCCAATCTAAACATTCTGTAGCGCTCACATCGCTCTGTGTATTCATCAGCCTGTGCTGCCTCAGCCACAAGTTCACATGGTTTTGAGGTGATTGTATTTTTTTTAAGTCTGCCAACTGTCTATGCTTGGTTTTTCCCATCTGTGGTGTGAGTTACTTAGTACTTATTGTTTTCTGGTACTGATGTTAAAGTGGTCCACTGACAAGGGGGTTAAACGGGTCCAAGGACCATGTTAGTCCACTCCTGGTGGTGGTCAATCCAAAACAATTCCTTACATTACTTACATCTATTTACATGGTTTGGCCTCATGATTTTCTGTAGCATGGTTCAGCATGGCCTAGGCCTAAACAACAGCAGCATAACAAAAGCCTGATTTCCACACCTGGACACCTTCTGTAGCACATTTCACAGTGATCCTTCTAGTCCCTGTTGAGATATTTGAGTCTGAACCAAAGAACCAACAGACCTACATTAGCAGTGGTGCCACTAGCATGGCTAACTGTAAAACCAGCATCTGTGCAATTTGATGCAGGTGGATCCAGAACCGCAGACCTGATGATGAAGAGGAGCCAGGTGAAGGCTTCTCTGGAGAGAGGTCTAGAGAACGAGGTGAGTTTTACTATGAGAAGACAGACATCAGTTTCTGTGTTGGGTCCAGAGCCTGGTTAGCCTAGCTGGAAGGCTAAAAGGTCTAGCTGGAAAGACTGGGGCAAAGAGGAGACTGCTAGCCTAGCACCATCACAAGAGAAAAAGAATTCACCGATCACTCTGGTTTACATGTACATGTTGTACTGTGCATATACTGAACAGCTGCTGAAATGAAACTGTATAAAAACACATGGCCACTTTAGCCAGAGTTGGAGCTAATGTTGCCTAGGTTGGTGACTGACATCACTGAAGTGAGACAGGTTCTGACATCTCTCTGCAAGTCTACGCCCATGTGAACGTGAAGGGTGGCTCTGTGTGTTGCAGGTCTCAGCTCCTCATCTGGACATGACGCTGAGTGAGCTGCAGGATCTGGCAACCCGACAGCAGCATCAGATCAACGTCCAGCAGCAGCTGCTGGCCTCCAAGGTACAGCACATCCAGCACAGTAGTGCTAATACTGCTGCTACCACCAACAGCAAAACTCTTACACAAAACCCATCAGGTCCAGTCTAAGCTGCTTCTCCTAACACACTGGTATTACCTGATGCCTACTACTGTGTGTAGAACCACCACATCTCCACATTAAGCACCTGGGTGTTCCTGAGGCCTACATTACCTCTTCACCCTTATTAACCCCCCTCGATCAGTTACTCGTGGACGAGTGTACCCAGTAGAGGCCCCAGTGTGGTTTCGTTGAAATGCCTGCTCCCTCCACACCTTCACCCACTGTACACAGGGACTGGCCAAGTGTGAAAATATGGTTTGAAATCTGAACGTCCTTCTCAGGCTCTTATTTTTCTTCTTCACCACACCTGACTGGACTGGACACCTGAATGTCTTCGAGGACTGACTGTGCAACGATATCCACCTCTGTACAGTTCCTCCAACCTCTGTCTGCCGCGGCAGCTTTCTTGCATCCATTCAAGACACCTACTGTATAAACACTTCAGCCTTTAGGATGTGTTGCACCAGTTTGTTTTGAGCCTTTAGGATGTGTTGCACCAGTTTGTTTGTTTGGAGTCTACACCAAGCTTTAGTGCTTGGCAGACCTATACGTGCACATTAACTGACTGACTGGCTGTGTTTCCTGGGCGGTGCAGGAGCAGCAGCTGCGGTACCT